CAGGCGCCCGCCACAACGCCCAGCTATTTTTTGGTTGCAGCCGTCATTGTTGTTTGGCGGGTCCGGGCTGGGGATTCGAACCCGCCATCTTAGGTGTACGTGGCTGGCGCCTTAGCCGGTTGAGCTATAGGCGCCGAGCCGGGACTTGTTTATTAATCTGGTTGTCACCAGCCAAGCATGGGAAAAATTTCCCATTTGAGAACTCCTAGAAGCAAGTCTTGGATATTCACCTCATTTCCCTGTTCATTAGCATCCTTGGTGAGTGTTATCAGAGATTGACTAAGCCTAAGTCACAGTGGGACAGTTTGTCAGAGCTGGAAGGAATCTCAGGAATCTCCTGCAGCCCTCTTACTTGACGATGACATAACTGAGCTCCAGCGAGAGGGAGAGGAAGGGACCTGCTTAAATTCTCACTGAAGGTGATGGCAGAGCTGGGACAATGACCCTGGTCTTCTGACCCTCCCAGCCCAGGGCCTTCTTCCTCTGATCACACTTGGCATCAGAGGCAGAGCACTAAATCAGGCTTGACGTTTTAATATTGCTTTGTCAGAGTTGATCTAGAATCCACAGAGGCAGGAATGTCCGGAAATGAAAGAGTAGGCAGCGCGGTGGTCGCCGGGTGTGTAATTGCAGACGGGAGTAATTGACTTGGCGGGGGCGGGGCTTCGCGCCGGAGCTCGCGGGTCTGCGCTCGGCCCTCGGTCGTCTCCTGCTCCGGGTCCGGCAAGTGTCACTCCACATTTTGTTTTTAACGTTATGCGTTTCCCCTTTCCCTTCTTTCTTCGGTCCATTTCCTGCCTTCTTCCTTTCTTTCACCGCTTCTTTATACACCATTTCCCCCCGTTTCTGTAATCTTTGTTTCTTTCCCTGCTAACCTCTGACATAAAGTATTAATTTTTGGCATTTTTTCCCCCCTTTCTTTGAAGTGCTCCTTCTGGCTACAAAAACTTCCAATTAAGTTTTTTAAATAAAAGATAGAAGTTAAAAGCAACTGCTGCCGGGGGTTAGCAGGATGGAAACTTGTAGTTGCTTGAAGCTGTACTTCAAAAAGAGAAAACTCAATTTTAAAAGTGTAGAGGTTTATTCATAAAATACATTGTGTTCAGAAAAATGATTCTGTGGGTACTTCAGGCTGCGGAGAAGGGAAACTGTAGGTCACTTGTTCTGTTGTATTTACAGATTCTTCTTTTCTAACTAATATTTTTATTCTAAATAGAAGGACAGGGAAAATTTTGAGCCTCTGGATCCTCGTTTACTCTGTTCTTAACTTTAATTAGTTTAATATTGAGATTCCATCTTTATTCGATAAAATACTTTTACAAGGTTCTTATGTATATTTCCTTTTCTGGGCTATTTTATACATACAGAGAATATAGGTAAGGGTTTCAAATTTCCCTTGTTTAGCAATTTCTTTTGTTTTTTTTTT